GTTTTAACTTCTCTTCCACTTCGCTCAATTCTTCACGGACCAAGTCAGTCCGGTAGATTGGCGAAATGGGCAATCGAACTCAGTGAGTACGATATAGAATACAAAAGTCGAACTAGCGCAAAAGCACAAGTTCTGGCTGATTTTCTAACCGAACTACCATTAGATGATGGAATCCTTATTGAAACAGACTCTACATGGAAATTACATGTAGATGACTCTACTTCTAAACAAGGATCCGGAATCGGTATTAGGCTCGAGACTCCTACAAAGGAAATAATCGAACAATCATTTCGATTAATGTTCCCGGCTTCGAACAATGAAGCGGAATACGAAGCTCTCTTAGCAGGACTTCGGCTTGCTATTGCAGTTGGAGCAGAAAAAATAATAGCTTATTGTGATTCTCAGCTAGTTGTAAACCAGTTCGCTGGAGATTACGAAGCTAAAACACTGCGGCAGACGCTTTAGCTGCCCTAGCTTCTACCTCAGACACCGAGCTCAAGCGAATTATTCCAGTTGAATGTATTGCTTCACGAAGTATTTCAGATGAAGAAATAGGAAACGATGAAGAAATAGGAAACAATACCGTTTTGGAGACCGAGCATATCAAAACTCCAGAATTAAATTCCGGAAATGAGAATAGTTCACTTGTTGTCACCAGATCACGAGTAATGTCTCAAGATGACAAACTTACTCCACAATCGGAACTTCCTAAAAGAAAGCCGAGAAGAAAATTAAAGGATCAAGAGGTTCCCATTAAAGAACCATCTCGAACAGAACAGTCACTTCCAGATATAGCAAGTAATGAAGAAGATCTGGTGACAGTCGAAACTGATCCTGATATTGCTTCCGAGCCGGAACCAAGGAAGTTTATATTCAAGGATAATACTTCCGCTAATGATTGGGGGGCTGACTGGAGGGTACCCATCAAAAATTTCATTCTTAATGGAGAACTACCATCGAACAAGTGGCAAGCTTGCAAATTAAGAATCATCAGCGCTAAGTATTGTATAATTAAAGAGTCATTGTACAAACGAGGTGTCAGTGACCCTTATCTTTTTTGTATTTTTGGACCCGAAGTTGGAATAGTGACAAGCGAGATCCACGAAGGACTTTGCGGTAGTCATTATTCGGGACGAGCAATGGCTTTCAAAATCAAACAGTTAGGATATTTCTGGCCAACTATGATTTCTGACTACATTGATTACGCCAAACGGTGTAAAAAGTGCCAAATGCACGCTCCTCTTATTCACCAGCTGTGGATGTAGGATTCACACTCGATTATCTTTAAGTATTTCAGTGGAGAAAAACTCTTAAAATCAACAAAAGAATATAGGAATTTGTAAGGAAATTTAACCAAGAAAAAGGTAAAGAAATTTGATAGGATCAAAGTATGCAAAGCCTTGCGAAATTGTAAGAGAGAAAGTATGTTTGTGTTGCTTAGTTGTAAGGTGTAATAATTTGAGAGAAGTCTGTCCCCCAAACACATGCGTTTGAGGTTGTTTTTATAGAGAAAACATGATTAATGCGGTCTTTCACTGTACACAATTATATTGATCCGCACTAATCATGTAAGTTACAATTTTGACCGAAACGGCTCGAATTTGAACTATCTTGGGCTTCACATGGGCTTTCCGAACTCTTTCTTGCTGACTCCGAACTCCCGCGCTTTGATGCTACTGCGAGCCTCGAACAATATTCTCCTCGCTTTGGCCTCTCTCTATGCGAACTATATATTGAATAAGAGCGAACTCCATGCTGGCAAATATCAAACTCTTCTAGTGAACTGAATCGAACTCCCAACTGGTCAAGTTCAATAAAATATCTTGAATTCCGAGAGGATTATTATGTAATAATGACGTGGACAGATCCAAGTGGATCCTACCGAAAATGTGTGGGATCCGATCCCAACACCAGCCATCTGAATTTTTGTCATCTATATCCGCTCCATACCCTTTCATGAGATGGTCAATGGATATAGTTGGTCCGATGCATCGTTCAACACGAGGCATCCAATACTTATTAGTTCTAACGGATTATTTTTCCAAATGAATCGAAGCTGAAGCTTACATAAACATAAAAGATTCTGTGGTAAAGACATTCTTGTGGAAACACATTATTTGTCGCTATGGAGTTCCCTACGAAATTATAACGGATAATGGTCCTCAGTTCATTTCAAATGATTTTGAAGATTTTTGTTTCGCTTGGGGAATAAAACTTACCTATTCAACGCCGAGATATCCTCAAGGAAATGGGCAAGCGGAAGCTTCCAATAAAACTATTCTCAGAAATCTTAAAAAATGTTTGAGTGCTCGAAAATGTGGGTGGTATGACGAGCTGCAACCTGTGTTGTGGGCATATCGAACAACCCCGAGATGAGCAACGGGAGAAACTCCATTCTCATTAGTATATGGGATGAAAGCAGTAGTCCCAGCCAAGCTGAATGTTCCCGGTTTAAGCCGAAGCGAAGCTCCACTTAACTAAGAAGTAAATTCTAAATTACTCGAAGACGTTCTCGATACAATTGATGAAAGGCGAGACCAATCCCTTATTCGACTTCAGAACTACCAGCAGTTGACCGCTCGATACTATAACTCAAAGTTGAAAAACAGACCTTTAAATGTGGGAGACTTTGTTTTAAGGCGAGTGTTCGATAACACAAAAGAAGAAGGAGCTGGAAAACTCGATATTAACTGGGAAGGCCCTTATCAAATCACAGAAAAAGTCCGAAATGGTGTATACCGTTTAAAAGACCTTGACGGAAATCCCGTTCAAAGGTCTTGGAACATCATCAACTTGAAAAAGTTCTATTGCTAAAAATAAATATATTCGAACTACGAATTGGCTTGATCCTGTTTTGGGTACGTAGGCATCTCGGTAAACACGAGTCCAGCTATAAAAATAAAAATATTATTGCAATCATGGAGTCTTGTTTTTATAAACTCGATCATCGAGCATAAATATTAAAATACGTTGCGAACAATGTATAAACAGATATTTCTAGCTAAACCAGATCTAGAAGAGTCTTGGATTACGGAATAGCTCTGCTCCTTCACCTGCGAGGTCAACGATGCTCAGAAAGCAACCCGGCATGTTTTCGTACTCCTGGAGGCCTATCTCGATCCAATCGGAAGGATGGGCTTCGAGGCGATGAAGTTCACGAGCAATATCGAGCCGACGCTTCTCTAGTTCTATTCTTCTTTTCCTAATCTCAATTTTCTCACCTTCGAGCTCGTTGTGCCGAGTGATAAGCTGAAGAAAATAAAACGCTATGTTTAGCAATAAGAAAAGGAGTCAAATCACTAGGTTAATTAAACAATACCTTGTTAATAAACTTCTCAGCCTTGACACGATCTTGAGCTGATAATCTCTTGATTAACACGATCGGAACTTGAATGCTGGTTCCCCACCCTAATGTACGTGACTCTTCTGGTTCACCAGTTGCTTCCGTTTTTACAAGCTCGATGTCTGACGTTCCTGGAAGATCATCGCTTATCATTTTGAATGAGTCGGAGGGATTCTCTGAAGAATTACCTTCCTCGGACATTTTTGTAGAATTATTGTTGATAAAACTCAATAATGAACTACACCCACATTATATTCGAAAAATATTCAATCACATTTAAGAGGGTCAATTGACGATTTTCCAAATCTGAAATTACACCCTTCATGGAAAATATAATCGAATTAATTGCTAACTATATTTCCTAGATTAACGCATTAAATAAGATTGAAATAAATTTAAAGCAAAAGGGGGAATATAATTAATGTTGCTGGGCCGCTAGCCCAATAGCATGTTACAAATAAAAATAAATCAAAGGAATTATTCGATCAAAAGTCCTCGCCCGATAACGATTCCAGCGAGGTGGATGATCCCGAACAACTTTCTGAGGATAATCCATCGTCATAAGATAAATCGAGGAGACCGGAAGAATGATCTATAGATTTTGCCTCCGGTTCTTCATTTTCTTCAGTTCTTAACATCGGAAATCTCCGAAACTCTGAAGAACATGAAACAAAAGAGGATCCGTCGCCAGTTGCTAAGGATAGATGAGATAATTTATCCAGCACGCGGAGGAATCTTCGAAGACAAGAAGAAATGATAGCCACGATATACCCTTCCTCTCCCATTCATGCGGTCCAGATTCAAGGCGATGGATCTCTTTCCATCCTCCTTATACGCTCATCGAGAGCACGGCGCCTCCTTCCGATTCTTTGTCTCTTATCACATAAAGCTTTATGCTTCCGACGATCTGTTTGAACAAACATTTTGTCAATAATCTGGAAAAGAATATACAGTCTTTTGAAAAGGCTAAAAATTAGAAAGAAAACCTTTTCCAAGAAATTATAACATTTAACCCTTTTTTTCCCTATCCGGAAATGGAAAAATGTAGGGTGAATAATTTCCTTTGGAGAGAATCCATCTTCGGATTCAAATAATGGATCCCCATTCGAGGATGTTATTCTTGAACTGGATCTGAAAGAGGATAGCGGCATAGTCCAGTTCCTCTTACAATAAATTATGACAGTCTTTCAAAATTCTTTTAAAAGAAAAAAAAAGTATTCGGACTCTTCAAAAAACGTAACAGACTTCAAGCCCATTTAAAACGTGACCCAACACGCTTAAAGCCATTTTTAGGCTATGATCGAAACCATCGCCTAGTCATTTTTATGGCAAAAATTCTCATGAATTATAAAAGTCTTATCCCTCGATAAAAGCTTAAGCCGAGCTCCATCCTCGCTTCCGAGAGACCGAGGAAAAATACTTTTTAAGGTTTTTGTCTTTAAAAAAGGCAAGTGAGCCTGATCAGCTCATCTCTCACAATTCATAAAACCTCTTTGGTGGGCAAAGACTTGCAAACCTAGAATCGCATCCAAATATTTTACTTCAATAAAAAAAAATCATATGCAAGTGCATGTACTCGATTTTGTTCTAACACAATAAATAAATAAAACATTTCCGTCAAACGGAGTTGTTCGCATGAACTCAATAAAACAATTCTTTAAGAGCGTTCCTCTACCTCTGGAGAACCCTCACTTGGCCGAGAACCTTCACCTATCTCGAATTGAGAGGAGGAATCTCCAAATACCAAAGAAAATTGTTTCAGATCGAGAGTAGGTCGGGAAGCCGAGGATAACTCGGATTCAACTACAGCGAATTCGGCAGTAACTTCCCTCCTCTCGTTCTCGAACGAAACTCTTCCATTCTCTAGTTCCTCAATCAGGTCTAGGTTACTCTTCAGCTCGGGTCGATCGGTTTGAAGTTTAGTCCAGACCTCTTCATCTTTGATAAACTTCACGATAGACTGAATAAGTTGCCTACCAAAGCTCCTTATCTCTTCTCGAGCGTTGTGCTCGGCTTCGGCGATCTCGGGAGCCCTAGTCTTAACTAAAAAGTCAGACTTATGGCTCGCTTCTTCAGACAAAGCTGTAGCCTTCTCTAACTCAGCCTTCAAGCGAAGAGCGTCAGACTTCGCAGAATCCCTTTCAGCGTTCGCAATTCTGAGGCGTTGCGCGTTAGCTGCCAAAGTCTTCTTCATATCTTCAAAAGACGACTCGAAGGTTTTCGGCTGTTCAAGGCGGTCAGGCAGATTGACAGATTTAAGTTCGTCAATCTCCTTCTTAGCCTTTGCGGTTTCTGTCATTGGTTGGTAAAGAAGATTCTCGTAATGGAAGATCATTCTATTAGTCTCCATAAACGCCTTCAAAGTAAAAAAAAAAAATGTCATTCAGACAAAAATTTACTTAACAAGGAAGGTTTATTGTAGGAAAAACCTAAAGTTCCGAACATGGGATAGGTAGCAAGCTCGATTGACGTACATCTGACGAATATTCGGCCTCCAAACTGAAAAAGGAGAAAGGGATGCCCCTGTCCTAGTTTGAAAACTTCTGAAGATGTCTCCGATCTCTTCTCTGCCTACAAAACAAAGGGGAATAGTAGATCAATAGAGCAGCTCGCGTTCAAAAACAAAAACTTACATGTTTCTGAAATCAAAGCTGGTGAAGGGTTTTGAGTACTAACGCTCAATCCTTGAGACAAAGGAACCTCCGATTTCAATTCAGCGACTTCTTCTGAAATTGCTCTGTCACTCAAAAGAGGGAGTTCAGGGTCTAAAGGTTCCAAAGAAGGGAGAACATAATGCGAAGGGCTGGGAGCTCGTAACGGAGAACTAAATCTAACAGCTTTGAGTTTCTCGTTTGACAAGGTATCTGAGTCTGGAACCTTCCTCTTTGTGTGGGGAGAACATGCTACTTCTCTCTCTTGTGCGGAAAAGCAAATAGCGGTAGCGACTGGAGGGTCGTTAGAAATCTCGGCTCCGTGAGAATCCACCGCCATTGACAAAGCTGCTTCAAAAGAACCATCGTCAACCAGGAGGGTCTTATTATGGAAGTTACTAACCTTGGAGATTGCAGCGATCCGTTTCTTTTTCCCAATTTAGGATAATTCTTAAGAGCTCTAGTCTCTGCCAGGATTTTTCTCTTATCACGAGCATTCAGGCTCGAGACATCTTTCTCTTCAGGAAGAGGATCAAGGGAGCGAGTTTGACCATTATTGATAGCGAGCCCCGCATTATGAATGCGTTGAAGGGTGAAGGAATTCTAATTTGTTTCACCCTCAAAAACGATTCGAAAGAAAGATAAAAAATCAACAGTTGGACGAGGAATAGTTTGGTTTCCTAAAATAAAATGTTGAGTTAAGAATTCTATTTCTTTCAAATAATACGGTGAAAAATAATAAAGGTTGATTCTAACCAAGTTTAGACAACCATTTTGGGAGGAGAAGACTGGAAAGACCTTGAACGGAATAAGGATTAACTCGGAAAAAGAACCAGTATTTCCTCCAAGGCCCATCATGCGAGGGCATTCCGTCAATCAGGTTACGGTCAAAGATAGGATTCATAGAAAAAATACCCGCTACTGTGGACTCACGGGCTCGAAATAGCCCTAAGAGTTTGCTAGTGGTGAGAGAAAGCCATGCTTCTGTCGTAACGGTCAGGGTACTCAGGATATATCGGAGAAAGTTGGGAGCCATTTGGGGAAAAGCAATCCCCAGATGGAGGAGGTACAAAAGAAGAACTTCCGGTATGGGAAAAAAACAAGCCGCAACCCTTTAAATAGACTTCGTAAGCGCAACAGTAACCTTCTCACACTGTTTCCAGAGACTCGTTGGGTTTAGGGAGAGAGAATTCTATTTCCTGAGGAATGTTACTGAGGCGACGGAGAACGCCGAGAGAAGCATGGGTCGATTGAGACCTAAAATGCGGACCAAATTTATCTCCCCTCTGGGTGCAAACTTCGTTCCCGCTGGGAATGGGGATTCCCCGATTGTTATCCTCGTTGGTTGAGACGTAAACAGCTGGGAAAGACATTTTTACTCAAAGATTTTCTTTATCTGGTTTGGTAAAAGCTTTTAGGGGTGAATGTATGCTGTAAAAGTCGTCGTTCCATTTAACCCTATTGAGCCGAAAACCGCCTCGAAAATATTGGGAAGTGGAACAGTTTTCCCCGCAGTATTAATATAAAATTATGAAATTAATGATGACGGTTGTCAGGGAAATCAAATCATTTGATTTTCCGAGATCAGCGTAACAGCGTAAAACATGGAGAAATTCCAGAATGACAAAGATCCCGATTCATTAATTACTGTTTACTAAATGTTGGGGTCGGATCCCACACCTTTTCGGTAGGATCCACTTGGATCTGTCCATGTCATTATTACATAATAATCCTCTCGGAATTCAAGATATTTTATTATAACTATTGAACTTGACCAGTCGGGAGTTCGATTCAGTCCACTAGAAGAGTTCGATCTTTGCCAGTATGGAGTTCGCTCTTATTCAATATATAGTTCGCATAGAGAAAGGCCGAAGCGAGGAGAATATTGTTCAAGGCTCGCAGTAGCATTAAAGCGCGAGAGTTCGGAGTCAGCAAGAAAGAGTTCAGAAAACCCATGTGAAGCCCAAGATAGTTCAAATTCGAGCCGTTTCGGTCAAAATTGTAACTTACATGATTAATGCGGATCAATATAATTATGAGTAGTGAATGACCGCATTAATCATGTTTTCTCTATAAAAACAACCTCAAACGCATGTGTTTGGGGGACAGACTTCTCTCAGATTATTACACATTACTACTAAGCAATACAACATACTTTCTCTCTTTACGATTTCGCAAGGCTTTACATACTTCGCTCTTATCAAATTTCTTTACTTTTTTCTTGGTTAATTTTCCTTTTAAATTCCCATATTCATTTGTTGATTCTAAAAGTTTTTCTCCACTGAAATACTTAAATATAATCGAGTGTGAATCCTACATCCACAACCTTGTGCTACAAGTCGGGCTTTATATCGTGTGATTTTATCATTCTCATTTTTTTGCACGAAAACCCATTTGCACACAATAGGTTTTACATCTTTAGATGCATTGACAATAGGTCCAAAAACATTCTTTTATTGAGGGAGAGCAATTCAATTTGCATTGCACTTTTCCATTTCTCCCAATCAGACATTTGTTGACACTCGGATACGGACCTTGGATCTGGATCATCATTTTCATGATTGATCTCTTCAGATACAGAAAAGAAAATATTCCATTCTCATCATTAATTTCATCTCTAGTCCATAATTTTCCATCTTGGGCATAGTTAATAGAAATCTCATATCTTTATGTATCGTCCTGAAGACTTTTCTCTTTATTAGGTTTCTTTTGAACATTTTCATTTTCATTTCTCATTTTTGTTTTCTTTCGGGGATTTTTATCTTTCGAGCCTATTGGCCTTCCGCGTTTCAATTGAACCTTAGGTTCATTAGCTTTGCTCCTATCGCATTCCTCTTTAGGAATTTCAACTCTTGATAGAGCATTTGCAGCGGGAATATAAGACTTTGTCACCCTTTCTGTATCTGTGAACGCATCTGGTAATTGATTTGCCATATTGATATGTCTATATTTTACTAGTTTTTACCATGCATTTACATCTCATTTAGTCTAGTTTCATCCTTGTTTCATGTCTTTAACTCTTAGTTTGCATCATTTAGCTTCACTTTACGCATTTAGGATCATTCTACATCTCTGTTGCATACATTCTTGCATTTTGGAGTTGTATCAGGTGTTTTTAGGCACAAATCAGCTCCAGGAGAACCTACTCGAACAGGCTACTCGAACTGGACCTGAGAGACATACTCGAGCAGATTTCTGAAGAGAAGACCAAGACATACTCGACCAACCTACTCGAACTGGACCTGAGAGACTTACCCGAGCAAGATGCAACCTTTGAAGAATGGACTACTCGACCAAGCCACTCGAGTACCAGCTCGAGTAGACCCTAAACCGACTTTCTATTTTGTCGTTTTGTGTACTAGGGTTTTCTACTTTTGCTATAAATAGACCTCTTAGGGCTTTGCCCAAAGGATCTCGTTTTTATCCTCTGAACAATATTTCTGCAAACTTTTGTAATCCAAATTACTTTTGTAATCCAAATTACTTTTGATCCTTTGAGTTTTTGCAATAATTTTCTTCTGCAAAGTTGTTTATCTTGCTTTGATGTATAACATATGATGTTTTTAGCGATTTCTGGGTTTGTGCAATTTTCTGGGTTTGTGTTCTTGAGCATGTCTGAGTAGTGGATTAGGGTTCTTGAGGATGGGATAGATTAGGTGTGGAATCCTTAGTTTATTTAAGTGGTTAAGTGTAGAATTTCTTGAATCCCTTCTGGATTAGTAGTACTTAGTGCTTATTCCTTTCTGATCAACTGGGATTTGAACCCAGACATTTCCACACCCACCAGGTGTTCGATGAAATGTCTGAACCAACTACTCCAGAGATTTACATACTCTAGCCCAAGAGATTGGATGTTTAGAATGTTTATTGACTATATTAGATTGAATCTTATTGCCTGCTTTGCTAGATTTCGCTAATGATGATTAGGTCTGGAACTGGTATTGCTTATGGATCTCTGTCATGAGAGTGAATTGGTCTGTAGTTGAATCTATTGTCTAGGGATAGCCTGTTTGGATTGTTAACTGATAATAAGATTTTACTCTCTCTAACAAGTATCAATTCCTAATACACATGCCATTGTAGTATATTAGGTTATCAATCCAATCTCAGTGTGACTGCAAGCATTTAAGATATGCACAGAAAGCAAATAAGTCAAGCCAATTATGAAAGGGTTTTGTGTGTTTCTATTGATCCTAAGCAACCAATTTAACATGCAAATACCGAATTTAAAAGCATAAAAAGAGAACTAAACAGCAAGTAAACAAGAGCAAGAAGTAAACTAAAGACCAGAAACTATCATGCATAAGCTTTGGAAAAGAAACTAGCAACCTAACAATGCAGAGAAACGATCTAGGCCTAACAGGTCGAGCTAAGCAACAGGGACTAACAGTAACAAGATTTAAACAATCAATAGAGATAAAGGGTCCTGAGGAATGGGGTAATCGATTATGGCAGTCTCCCTAGTCTACCTAGGTGGTTAACAAACTCAATCAAGCTATCCCTAGACAATAGATTCGAATACAAATCAATCCACTCTCGTGACAGAGATTCTCAAGCTAAATCACTTTCATACTCAATTCTCATTGAAGAAATATAACCTAGCAAGCATTATGATTCAATCTAATAAAGTCAATAAGCATTCTAAACATCCAATCTCTTGGGCTATATGCAAATCTCTGGAATAGTTGGTTCAGACATTTCATCAAACACCTTTTGGGTGTGGAAATATCTGAGATCAACTTCCAATTGATCAGAGAGGAAATAGCATTAAGATCTACTAAACCAGAAGGGAAATCAAGCAATTCTACACTTAACCACCTAAATATACTAAGGATTCCACACCTAATCTAACCCACCCTCAAGAACCCTAATCCACTACTCAAGAACACTGAAGAACATCATGCATAAAAACCCAGAAAACGTTTCAAACCCAGAAATCATTGAAAAGCAAGTATGTTATAGATAAGAGACAGATCTACAACTTTGATGAAGAAAAGAAATGCAAAAACTCAAAGGATCAACAGGAAAAACGATTACAAAAACTAGGGTTTATGAGAGAACAAAGGAATATCTGCTGGGTAAAAAGGAATCTCTCCTGGACAATAGCATGTACCCCTATTTATAGGAAATACTAGGTTGCCCTAATTGGCTATAGGACAAAATAGAGAGTCGGTGGAGGCCAACTCGACGTGTCGTCGAGCCTGCCACGTCGAGTCCGCGTGATCTTCAAAGGTAGCGCCTTGACGTCTAACTCGACGTGACGTCGAGTCCGTCTGGTCGAGTCTGCTCCCAGTCGGCTTCTTGGCGTCCTACTCGATGTGACGTCGAGTCCGTCTGGTCGAGTCTACTCCCAGTCGGCTTCTTGGCGTCCTACTCGACGTGTCATCTAGCCATGTCGTCGAGTCTGCTCCCGGGTGGTCTTGAACG